TCCTTTCTCCGTTCCTTCTCTCATTCCGTTTGTTCATTGCCGTACCCCAATTCCCCGGTCCATTCCAGATTAAAATCTTTGCAATTAGTGAAAACGTAATCTTTATTCCCGTTGGGACATTGTGGAGGCCTAAAATACGGGAACCAATCAGAAATGGATTCACATTGTCTTGACTCTCAGTATAAAGGGACTCTAGAGCACCCTAGTATCTTACAACTGTACAATTATTAAGGTATGAACACGAAAGGACCCACATTTGAGCGACGCAGCGCCCTTGACTTCAGTCTTATTTGCTTGTATGATTTTGAACTTTACTCAAATTGCACACGTCGGTGTATTTACTCACTTTTAAAACCAATTGTGTGCATTACATTTGAAAAAATATTTTCAACCTAGACCTCTATTGAAGCAAGGTAGGTGACAACCAGAGCGTAGGTTATTTACCGTCAAAGATCGGTGATAAACTTCGCCGTAATCACATTTGCCTTCATTTTTTTCTGCATCAAAATGTTCTCTTATCTCCATTAACACCCGAAACATCCTTACTCTCTCTTCACATACGTACTCTCATAGGGGAATAAATTAAGGATCGCTGAGATATGTCGACTTCATTTTGCGGTATAACAAACCGCAATTTTTGGCTCTTTATTTTTGCGGAAAAAGAATATTTGGCGTAGATTTTCTTGGATAGATGGATGATTTTGATGGATAACTAGAAATAGTGGTTCTTCAGTGCAAAAATATAGTCCGTACAGATATAACTTATGCCCTTAAATACGATATTTGCAAGATTTTTTGCAATAAGGAATTACTCGGTCCCTAGGACTAGGAGAGTCTCGGTTTCGCAATAACAGCAAATCGACGGCTCATTTTTATTTAATTCTTGTTTATGGTTGATAATAGAATTGTAACAATTTCGAAATGTTCCGGGTTTTTCTTTTGATTTGTTCCCTTTTGCAGCCTTTCTCCAAATTAAATTGTTATTCTATTATGGGTTTTTGGCTGATTGAGTTATGTTCTTCAATAAGGAATTGCCATTTCTAAAAGCACTATTCTGCATAAAGAGACTATTTCGGCACATACGTTGTTCCTAAAATGGGCTGGGAGGGCGTGTGAGAGAGGGAATGTTCGAAGTGACCGAGCCCCGAGTATTCTAATTCTCCTACACGACAAGGGACTCGCTTGGTTCCACCGGAAGGTGAATCCGGATCTCTCTCTCGGCTGCCACTGCACTTGTTCAAACAGTTGCCTGCTTTCCTTCTGTGCATTATTTTCATTTCGGGCTTTTAAAAAACTAAGGCGCGTGCAGTCACAACTTTAATGAGTGTGATCAATACAGCACACAAAAATGAGAGACAAAGAGGGGGGTAACGACTGGATGACATTAAAACAATTTAAAACCTAATACTTGAACATTTGGAGAGAAGGTTACTGTTCATCTCTGTAATCACTATTGACAACATTATTCTTCGAGACAAAATTGCGATTCCTAGTGTTAGCTTGCGAATATGATAAAAAGAAACTCGACGTATGTTCGCACGTCATCTTATTTTCACAGCTTTTCCGGAGAGTGAATCGGAGCGGAGAGGACAATGAACTGGACTACATTTTGCAATTAGGAACTACAATTTCTGGCTCAGTTTAAAAACAATGTATGCACCAATCCTACAGATAGTATTCTTTCACGGGTCGTGAGCCAGAAATTGGAGTTCCTGTTTGCAACATGAAAATCAGATCTTTGTTGGAGCTTTAGCAACGAGAATTTCCCCAGGAAAAACTGGAGACTGATAGGGAAAACTGTACTCCTCCTATACACTAACTCTACATTACTGGGTGTGCGAATAATAATTTTAGGGAAACGGAAATAACGCTAACAAATTCGATAGTACTTTAACTCCGAGACAAAAAAGACTGATCAGTGGCTACGCTCCGGCGTTTGACGCACATTGTTATTCGATGGCTCCAATGTAAACAGACACATGGCCTTGTCATATTCACGCCAGGGTGATGGAATTCGCCTACGTGTTTCTTGAAATCGAATATTCCCATAATTAATGAGACATTCATTGAATTATAATTTGTAAATGACAAAATCGTAATGAACTAATAATAAAAGAATGGACTAAACGCAGAATTCGGACTGGAGATTATGTTCTATTGTTGTAAAGGTGTCGTCAGATAAGTTTGCATTTGTTTACTTTCTGCGATGCAATCGTCCAACAGCGATCGAGGATTGACCGCGGCCCGATCGTAAGTGTAGTCAATCCTCAATCCCTATTGGACGGCAGTTGCTTCCAAGCAGATTAAACATACGCGCCAACTTAGCTGATGACACATCTGGTTAGAGCCATCAAAAATCGACGCGTCAATTATCAAACTGAGTAACGCCGAATGAAGTAATATATCCACCACACTGGAAAAAAAAAACACATTGGATCTAGAATCCCAGACTCTTGAAAACATTGACAAGAAAAAATACTCTTGATTCAATCTGATTTTTGCTTGACTCCAAACGATATCCGCTTAAATTAAGAGGCTTGGTTCTTGATTTAAGCTAGATTCTAATTGAATCAAGAGTACTTTTTCTTGTCGATGTTTTTAAGAGTCTGGACTCTAGATCCAATATGTTTTTTTTTTCCCAGTGTAGGTCAGTATAACAAGATATTCTTAGCTAAAGCACCTACCTACAGACCACAGTCGTTCTTATAAATCCTTACGTTGGAAGAACTTAGATATAGTTTAAAAAAAAATTAAAAAAAAAATTAAAAAAAAAAAAAAAAAAAGCCTATGCTTAGTTGATGGCCTCCGCTCCGACCAAATTTGCGAAACAACTAACGAAAAAGGAGGGAGGTCTATCGAGGAGGCACAAATTCCAAGTTTCAAAGGATAGACGACGCGATAGCGGGACTTGGAGACACCTCTTACGCGGTGAAGTTGCGGGCGGTACTAAAAAACGAGCGTTAAGATAGCGGGCACGTTTACGAGGACGCGCAATCAAGCCAAGACGCTCCCAGTATGATAACGCTCACCGAGTCGATTGTTGAGTTCCCACGCCGGCGTTGCCGCTCCGTCGCGACGACTCTAATTAAATATTGACGTCATCGGCGGCGCTCTATACGTGGGCGCCCCGGGGAGCCCGGAACCCACAAGCTCAAGAGCCGAGATCACACCCTCATAAGCCGAAAAGGCATTCGACTTTACGACCTGCATCGGATACAAACGATGTCTTCACATCGGCATCCGTATAGCACTCGTGAGAGATTCAATTTTTAACTTTTTTCGCACGCAAAAAAGTGCATTGCTTCTCGCTCACCGCGGTTTTCAAACGTTTATGACCTGCTCCGGAAAATTACATGTTTATAATGACAATATAATACCAATTTTACTCGTCGATGAAACTGTACTGCGCGTTTCACGGGAAAAAGTGTTAGGATTTGAAAAATTGTGGTACTACCCCAAATTTCGAATTAATTGTGGTAGTACCGCAACTAAAGTCGGGGTAGTACTGCAACATTTGGGTTAGTAATCTAATTTATTGGGGTACTACCACAATCAGTTCGAAATATAGCCACTATCCAACAACCCCTACCCCTACCTCTTTTTTCCGTAATAGGTGGAGGTAAGTTAACCTATGTTAGTAACATAGCTACCCTAGGACTAGGCATTCACGTGGGAACTTTCCAGAAAATTCTTGGCTGAAATCAGATCTCTCGGGAAACTTTGATTGGGACACACTCTTTGGCTGAGAAAAAAAACATATAACTGCAGACATATTCTTAGTTCAGCATGACGTACGTGAAAAATCAAATTTTGAAAACTTTTCGAGAAGGGCCCCCGGACTAAACATCTAAGAGGGAACTCATCACGGCCTTCTCAGCTGAAATCTGCTTTCCCACGGGAAAATTTGGCGGTGAACCTTACTTACAGATACATGGATACACGGGCATCACTCACGCTTTCAAAAGCCACTGGAAATTCCCTTCCGTTCCCACCACTTGACTTTCCGGGGAGACTTTGATCCCTGTCCCGGACTTCTTTTACAAGAGGCGTTCTCTTCTCAAGCCGCCGTTCATGCGTCAACATTTGTGGCTCTGGACTTCTCGACACCAAAAAGCATGAGAAAATAGAGCCCCTTACGGCATGGTGTTACAGATTCTTGAATTTACTTATTTACTCAGAATTCTTTGATTTTAGGTCTAAGGTGGCAAAACTCTGATAGACTCTCCTTCCTACTTTCCCTTTGATTCCTAACGAAAAACGAACACCGTCCCCCAGAAATTTTACTGGCTTGATTTTCTGCTTTAGAGTAATTATTCTGAGGCGCCGAGTCAACGCGGAGCATCAAAAGGAAAAAAGAAGACGAAGAAGAAGAAGAAGAGGAAAAAATCTCGGGGCGGTAAAAAGAGGAATGTCCGATATTGACATAAATTCCCCTATACGAATACCCTGATTTGCCGAAAGTTTCTTCATTCCTTGATGTATTATTCACGATATTTTCCGGTGTGCACGAGTCCCGGGCACCATGACTGACGGCCACCCAAAAAGCTCCTATTTACAAGGAGCCTTCGGATAATTATAATGGTATGGTAATTTTACACTGATGATTCCAATTTGTAAATAAATACTGAGATTTCCGGCTGAGTTTACTACTCAAGAGTGTCAAGATAACAATGGCCGTCCAGCTGGCAACGCAGCTAATCACTTCAAACACACACTGAACGGTGCGCTTAAATCGTCACCAGTCAAGAAAGCTTGTCGAATATTTACAGTCGTACGTACGTCTCGGAAAGTGTCGACGTTGAAACAGGAATTCAATAATATCGACAGTGAAGTCCAATAATAGTGAAGTTCAATGATATCGTCAGTGAAGCTCTTCGAAAGCAGCTAAAATGAAAAAATTCCGGTGCAACTTCGGGCGGTTTTTTTATGGAGAAAAATTCACCAACAAAATCCACTAAACCTAAGACTGACCCCATAAAGTAAAGGAAAGTGATAAGAGTAAATGGAAACGAACGAGGACGAACCCGTGATTCGACTTTTCGCTGTTTGGTGCGATGAAGCTGAAAAATCATAAATTGAGCGTGGATTTGCCTGTATCGAATTCAGCTACCTCAATTCATCGGTGAGCTGCGATAGCATCAAAATAAAAGGTGAGTTCTTGATCCTTATTTTCTCATGACTCCTTTTCGAACTTTGCGGTCCGGTGATTCGATACAGTCGGACGGTCGCATTGGTAACTGTTTCCTTGTGGGCGCCATGACCGACTGAAAATGTCTTGGATTTATGACTATACATAATGACTATACAGGTATGAGGATACATTCGCATTTTCCCTTGTTCATTTTATTGGGTAAACTTCAAGAAGACCCAGTATAGTATCGGGCCTATATAGACAAGACTGGAAATCTTGCATCCGGTCTGTATTTCTTCGTCAAAATTCCATGTAGAACAAAATGGCTATACATTGCAAGTTTCTGAATTAAACTCGTAGAGTATACTTGAAAATTCGCAATTTCGGTATTCGTGGACTTAAACTCCCCGCTTGCCAAATGCCAATAAAGGAAACCCACTTGACTCAAATCGGCGACAGAAATAATGTCAGTGTGCTTTTGGATGAAATAATTATTTCGTTGTGCTGATAATTTTTCGTGAAAAATTTTTTTCATTTTTTTTTCATGCATTTTTTAACATATTTTATTCATTTGGCTCTTCGTCACTTGAGTATTGCTTTCCTTCTTATTTTCTTCTTTCGTTATAATTTATTATATTTTCAATACAACATTTCCCGTTTTTGATATTCATTTTTCACTTGTATTGTTCACAACATTTCGTTTCAACGATTCTTTCCTTAAATACACATATTTCTCAGTTAAGTGCTGGAAATATTCGCATTTTTCAAATCAGATTTGAATTCAATTTATTAGCCTCGCCTATATAAGGTCATTCGAACGAAAGCTCACAATTCACCTTGTGATGATATCATTATTCGGCCATGTTAAAAGCCTAAAATTAGAGTAGCAGATGAGCTAATAAAGCGTCCGACTCAAGCGTTCTACGCGTCTGTACGTGTTCCGATGCCGAAGAAGCGTTGCATGTTAGGTGATACTACTATTCGACCACGGGAGAGCCCATGTTGCCTACACTGGAAGTTGAAGGCGAACTGATATGGCGTTAGCATCACCTCTTCGCGGCGGTTAAACAGCCATTTTTCGTGTGTATTCCGAGTAAGCATGCCATTTTACGATGATACCACTATTCGACCACGGGAGAGACCATGTTGCCTACACTGGAGGTTGAAGGCGAACTGACATGGCATTAAAGTCACCTCTTCCCACCTGGTAATGATTCTATATATTGGGTGTATTTCGAGTGAGTGTACCATGTCAAGATGACACCACTATTCGATCAACGGAAAGTTCGTGTTGCGTGCACCAAAAATTAAAGGGAAACCGTCAATGCGCTAAAATTCCCTCTACACAGTTATTTTCTCCTATGGAGAAAATATATGCCTCCTATGCCTTTTTGGAGACAGATGCTCTCCGTTTCAAGAGTAAATTGTTTTCAATGCAGCGGTTCGGCAATAGGTAGTTTGCAATTTTGATCGGACAAAGCGTCCTGTCCACCGACGAAGCTATATTGATTTAATGGCTATTAACTGCTCCGTCAAATCAATTTCAAGACAAATTAATGAATCCATGCTTTATAATTATATTACCTATCCCTGCGCTATTCCTCTGGAAACTTCGAATGAACCTTGAAGCTCCGTCGTTCAATCCACGCGTAATGCAGCGCTGTATCTTTTCATCATAACAGCTTCAAAGCTGAATATTTTCATTAAATCCATACACTTATCCGTGTCTTTATATAAATATTAGCGATTACTACACTGCCGTGCTAGGGAAGAACGCCGTATGAATATTCGAGAGTTGTCAAATTTCCTTCGATAAAATGTTTATTTATGAGGCAAGTTATGAATATTTTTCCTTTAAATTTTCAGGAACTTTAGGTGAAATTGTGAACAACACTGGAAAAAATCCCATTGGATCTAGAGTCCAGGCTCTTGAAAACATCGACAAGAAAAAATACTCTTGATTCAATCGGATTTTTGCTTAAATCAAGAACCAAGCCTCTTAATTTGGACGGATTTCCTTTTGATTAAAAAAAAATCTGATTGAATCAAGAGTATTTTTTCTTGTCAATATTTTCGAGAGTCTGGACTCTAGATCCGATGTTTTTTTTGTCCAATGAAATTTATATGAAAAATTGGAAGAAAAATATTCATACGTTTACCGGGAAATTCGTGTTTTATCAAAGGATATTTAGCAACGCCTGAAGGTTCATACGGCGTTTTTCCTTAGCACGGCAGAGTAAATATTCGTCCTCTGAGAAGATAATACACTCTCGTTTCTCTAAAACTTAAACTCAACACTAGGGAGTTAGAATCTCAATTACAATGAGATTGTAGCGCCTAACAGTCCACAGTGAGGAGGAAAGTTTTGTTGATACTAATTGTGCGTTGGATGAATTGCCGAATAAGTAAACTCGCTTTTAATTACCGATTTGACTCATTACCAATTGCTTTTTCTGCGAGGGAGATGTGCAAAATGGTTGCTTCATTGTTGACGATTAAAACTGTTTTCTCGCTCGTGTGAATTTTTTTTTTTTTTTTTTAATCTCCAACATTGCCATCTTGTTTTGCGGAATAGTTTGATGAGGAAAAATGTTTTACAGTGGGCCTGTTGCATGTAAGAGATACAGCCGCGTGAATAGACTTTTTAAAGGTTAAATGACACGGAAATTACGATGGTCACATTAAAAAAGTCTGAAATACACTCCTTACTGCGCAATATGCGCTGTTAGGAGCGCGCTTTTTCAAAATTCCCGCGTCTGTGGGCAATTTTCTAATCACCGGAAACGAGCAAACGGCGGACTCGGTGATTTCCGGAAGATGCCGAGTCGTTGTTGTTGTTGTTATTTTTTCCTTCAGTTCGTTTACAAACTCAACGTGATCTCTTATAGTGGTCCAGATACGCTTTATGCGCTATCCAAATCGATCAACTTTTAAATATCCAACGCAATCCTCCTACATTTCATTTCACGATATCACGAGCTCCGATTTTTAGGTTATGTTGTCAGTTTTAGTTGACCGGAAATAGCCGCGAGTTGCCGTTAATTGTTTCCGTTAGAAAACTGCCCCCAGACGCGGGAAATTTGAAAAAGCGCGTTCCTAACAACGCAAATTGCGCAGTAAGGAGTGTATTTCAGACTTTTTTTAATGTGACCATCGTAATTTTCGTGTCATTTAACCTCTGAAAAGTCTATTCGCACGGCTGTATCTCTTGCATGCAACAGGCCCGTTGTGGGCGCAACTGAGAGGATTCTAGTATCCCACTAAAATAATTGTGAAAGTAAAAAACAAAAATGGCATTTGTAGTGATAATCGGACTGCTTGAAATGTGGATGATTATTGATTACGCGACTACCCTACAGGTATTTGTTACAGGATCATCACGCAAAATCAGTTCCAAAGTCAGCTCGCAAAACAATACTTGGGTTCGTATGGAAAAACAAAAGTTTCTAGTTCGCGTGACCGAATTTTTTTGGTCCCAGGGACTGAGCTTTTGTTCAAGTGACGAAACTTTTAGTTGAGCATACTATGGCTCGTATTTTTAACGGACCACTCTAGATGTTCATCTTCTGAACCGTAGTTTGATCTATGCGACCGAAAACTTTGGTGCTTCATCTGAACTATACAGTTAAGCAGTTGTGATCATGCTCGGTTAAAAACACTGAACATTGCGCAACCCGCGAGTCTGGTTCCTTACCAGACATTGAACGTTTTGGCAGAGGTTTAAGACCGTTCGTTCAAAACTACTTGAATACTGCCGTGCTAAGGAGAAACGCCGTATGAGCCTTCAGGCGTTGCCAAATTTCCTTTGATAAAGTACGAATTTACTGTGGCAGTTGACAATATTTTTCTTCAAATTTTTAGGACAACATTGTTTGCACTTCAATCTACCACATCTAAAAATTTCAAGGAAAAATATGTATAACTTTCTTCCAAAATGAACATTTTATCGGAGGAAATTTGGCAACTCTCGAATGTTCATACGGCGCACAGTGGGTCGATTCAATTAGAGAGGTCGGACATGCGATTTTTGGCTAAAACTGCAAATTTTTATGTCGAATTCGTCACATTTTAAACTTGATGGGGTGCTTCTACAAGAAAATTTCACGAGAAAACCAGTGGAACCACTTTTAGAACCTCAAAGTTTTGTAAAAATGATGTTATAAACGTTTAAAGTTTCCAAATTTTGTCCGACTTCTCCTATTGACTTGATCCACTGTGCGGCGTTTTTTCTCAGCACGGCAGAATAGCTCAGTTCCAAACAACGAACTAGTGTCACGTTGCGCCTGGCTCGGTCTTTTCAATCGAATAGTTGAAGTTTTTGAGAACGGACCTTCCTTTGCGTGAAAGGTTGATCCTGTACAAAAAAGAGGATTTGGAGGAAAAGCGAGGGAACAAAACGGTTATTTCAGACGGCGAGGGGTTTTAGCGGCTGCTCGCGGTTGAATATTTAATTGTGGTAATCTCCGGGCTTTGCCTCGAAAGCAAAGTAATCCCAGGACTGAATTGGATCGGACCGCCCAATTATAATAAGACCTCTTTCGTGACCTATTCTAAAATGGGAAGTTCTCCTCGCCGAGCGTGCAAGAGGCCTACCTGAACTTTCAGCAGACGCTTTTTGGCGCCGAGCGGCTAAGCCTGTAATTTCCTTCAAGCGAAACGTAAAATTGCTAAAAACGTCTGGTAAGGTGATGTACACGCAGCAAGAACACTACTAGAGGACTGTCTAACAATAAATGGCAAGTTTAGTTTCAATGAAAATATTTTTTGAAACGAATCAAGTCAAAATAACCTGAACACTATATTACCAAAACAGGGTGCCTAGCTTTTTTTTTTTTCATTTTGGAGAATCCTGATTGTTGACTGCCAATTCTCCTAATTTCATAATTTTTCCAAATCAGGGTGTCTAGTATTTTTTAATTTTGAAAAATCCTGATATTTTCCTGATTTTTCCTGATATTTTATAAAAATTCCGGATTTTGAAAATTCCTGATATTATCCTGATTTTTCAACAAAGACGGC